TAGCATTCTAAGTAGATTGCTTCATATAATCTTTATAACAAATCTATGAAATATGTCCTTTTACGTCCATTCTAAAGATTAAAATATAGTGACTTGAAGAGATAATTTATACAAAGTCACATAACCCCTTAGGCTGGATCCAGGTTTCAAATACAGTGTTATCTTGAGTGAAAAAGCCATTCCTCTATGTTCTTTATGCTATACTGTGTGGTTTCTCCTCTAAGCCTAACTTTCTTTTTGCTAATGTAAGAACAGAAAATAGAGATGTGGAAATTCTTGTCAAAGTCCCCTGTGCCCGTCTCCTTTGCTTGTGGCCATTGCTTTGTTCTAGAGGAAAGAGGATAAACTTTGTTAGATGCCACTAACACTGAATGGCAAGAAGAGAAATGAAATGGAGTGAGGCAAGAAAAATGACCTGACTTCAAAGAAGAAAGAGTTCTTAAGAGAAAGAGAGAGCTGCTTAGAGTCAATTGTGAATTCACAGCACCCCCGCGGCTCCTGCCTCTGCTCTTGTGAAAGCCTATGGCCGACATCTTTGCTTATTCGCACACTCCATATCCAATGAAGGTCCTAGAACGTTAGGATTTGGCTAGTGCTGCTGAATTTGAAGGCACCTGAATGAACAGTTGTGTTCCGCTTCTGATGATTATTGCTGGGACTGAACTCTCTGATAGCAGAGTATGGAGACAGTTCGAGGCTTCCAGCCAAAGTGGGCGAGAATGCTGGCGAGGCTGTGTGGACTCAAGAGACTTGACATGATTTAGAAATGATGGCCAAATGAAACAAAAACTGATATTTTATGAAAACAGTATTTCTGGGAATATTTAACTTAAGAAGAATGCTGCAGACCCTGCCCCTTAGCTCCTGGACCCTCATATAGTAGAACTACAGGAGCAAAAGATGACCTGTACTATCTTCCTAAGACTCCAAAGAGTAGCTTGGAGCATCTCGAGCAGAGGTTAGAAACTTCTGGTCCTTAGGCCAAATCTAGTCACAGAGGTATGTTGTGTGGTTCTTACAGCTTTAGCCTACACAGTGACTGGAATTTCAAGCCCTGGACAAATCCTCAAATCAAGCCACGGTGGGCTTTCATTTCTTCGGGCAATGAATTTGAATAGAGGTCCCCTCTGTTAACATAGCATAGGCTTCCAGTTTGCTCAATGCCTAGACCTCCCCCCGAGGTATTGAAGCTTTATTTATTTTTATCCTTGCACTTATAATGAGGATTCCCTTCCGTGTAGTGAGAGCTGTCTGGCTCCTGTATGAATCTGTGCTGGGGATGCCGGTGGGCATCTCATCAAAGCACTGGCAATAGAAAGTGAACCCTCATGTTGCTAGTTACTACAGAAAAGTTAACGGGAAAAAAGTAGCAGCTCAGAGCTCTTTTATTTTTTTTAAATAAAAGTTTCAAGTTATAACTTTTTAAAAAAATACTCATTACTTCTATATTGCTATTTTTTCCCCTTTTCAGTAAAAAATAAAACAGTCTATTCAGTGGACACAAGCACATTTGAATCCCAACCTGTCAGCATCTTGTATATGTAAACTCTTCTGGACTGTGGGAACATTTTTTTAAATAGCTCAGTCCAAAACAAAACCAGTAAAAATGCAGCAATAAAAATCAAAAAATAGATAGATAGATAGATAGATAGATAGATAGATAGATAGATAGATGAATGATTTCAAAGAGGCTTTTATTAACTGCCCATTTAATTCAAGAAATTCCTAAATGAATAAAACAAAACAACAGAAGCAAAACCCAAAGTGCGCTTTTAGTCTTATGAGTTGAAGAAGGCCTTTTATGCAGAGCAGAGTTTTTGGATAATGGGCAGTGGCAAGTATGGTTGGAAGACTGAGAAATAGAGTTTTCAGTCTTCTTTATTGGCTACCAAATAATTCTTATGCCGGTTAGACTTTATAGTGATCAAATGAGTAATTTCTCCATGAAGCAATCCAATCACTCATCATTTATCACCCCTCCAATGGGACAGTTTCAGTATGTATAGATCTGTGGTGTGTATGGGTTTCACTATATGAAATGCAATGACTCATGCACTGGTTTGGTATTTCCCAAGAAATATTGGACCTGGTGACAGTGTTTAAGGAGTTACCTGAATATGACTGAGTCAATAAAAAACATTTTACAGAATAAAACACTAAATATTGGTAAGTGTTGATATTAACCTTGGTAAATTTAGTATAGTGAAGGGCGCCTGGGTGGCTCAGTTGGTTAAGCAACTGCCTTCGGCTCAGGTCATGATCCTGGAGTCCCGGGATCAAGTTCTGCATCGGGCACCCTGTTCAGTGGGGAGTCTGCTTCTCCCTCTGACCCTCTGCCCTCTCATGTGTTCTCTCTCTCTCAAATAAATAAATAAATGAAAATCTTTAAAATAATAATAAAAATATTAGTATAATGATGCTGGTAAATTTTATTTTTCATAGAAAATCCATTAATAAAAAAGGGGCTAATGTCTTTCTCAACTCCACCCTAAGGGACAGGTAAACAGATGAAGAAATTGAGTGTCCAAGAGTTTGTGACTTAACATCACATAACTAAAAAACAAGGAATGTAGGAATACAGCTGAGGAATCCTGAATGATCTCAGGGTCTTTCCATGATATCTTACTGCATAAGCATGAGGGAACAGAAAATCCTCTGGGCTGTTGGGTAGAAAAGAGATATGTACTGCCCAAGATAGGAGTTTAGTTTTTGTTTTCTGTGCCTGTTTTTAGATACAGAATATAGAGAAATACAAAGTGCCATTATTGCTGTTTTTACTTCTTCAGTATTGGGATATCTGTAAATTGGGTTGGACAGAACATTTCAGTTTAATGAAGGTTTTCTGTTTTTATTAGGAGTCTGAGAGTTTCACTGATAAAATGGAGAATAGCTGCTTACTTCTGGGAAATAACCACAGCCCACAATCAAGCCTGATAAGAAATCTGAAAAGGAGTAACTTATTTTGAGCAAAGGTGTCATAAGCTCATCAGGTAGAGATGAGGCTACAACCAAGGAAGAGGGCAAGATGCATGCGTTTGAAGCAAATAAACTCCAGCTTTAAAATCCAGGGACAGATGCAGTCAATATCAGTAAGTGGAGAGAAAGCTGTAGACTCTGAACAGATAAGCAAGCAAATGAGTGATGAAGTTAAAACACATTCATAAGGCAAGTAGAGGAAATGATCAAAGTAACCACCAAAGAACAGTAAAGTCTAAATCTACCTTTTTTTTTTTTCCCTTCCGGAGATATGTTGACATTGAAACCTTGCATCAGTATTTCCTAAAACTGTAGATCTCTTGAGTCGGACAATAAAGAATCATGGCAGTGGGTCTTCCAAAGAGAGATGCCATTGTGCAGGAGAGGAATTCAGTATGTCAAGAAAAGAAATGGAGCTAATGAGGAATGATGTAAACATGCCACCAGGGTTTTAGTAATGGAAATGCGAGTGCTTACTATTCCTAAGCCTCTAGTTCTTAACATGTAAAACTGAAATAACAATTCAAAGTTCTGTTTTGAGAAATCAAAATATAATTAGCAAAATGCCTCAAAAATAGGGAGGGCTAAATAAACTGTAGCTGTTACATTTTCCACACATGCTTTCCTAAGCTCTCCTGTATTGACAGAGGCATTTAAATAGAGGTGGTTTAAATAAGGAACAAATCATGACATACAGGAATAAAAGGATCTCGAAGTCTGGCAAGAACAGTTAAGGTAAAAAATTTGCCCAGCATTGCCTAGCTAATAGAGCTAAGCAAAAAACAGACCTGTTAGATTCTAAAGCTCCGGCATTTTCCTCTATCCCATTTTGCTTCTATAAATGAGATGATCTGTAAGCCACTGAAAGGTGATTAATTAGATTTAAAATTTCCTTCGCTTTCAAGTTTCCGATTTAAGCCGTAGTACCTCTGTCCCAGTGGATGAAGGTGCTGTAAATTGCTGCAGTGGCAGAACATAACTGAAATGCAACTGTCCTTCTGTCCCTTCCTGAAGCAGTCAGAAGTGTGGGGTAAGGATGGTGATCTAGAGCCCCGCACACTCTCACCAGGGATCTAGATCCCAGTTTCCCCCAGGCTGCCTTAAGCCACCAGCTGAGCATAAACTTGAACCCCCTCTGGTGAGGACACTGCATCAGACTTAGCCATCCAACTGCAGGTAGTAAAATTACTATTTCAAAGCCAGGGGAGAAGAGATGTTGGACATGCTGAAAAGGAATATATTTTTGGATTTTTCCCCCCACAATTGTGGGAATGATATGTGGGAGGAGAAAATATTCAAGTAAATATGGTATGGTGCTGAGCGTCTGTAATATGAGCCTGGTGTCTCAAGGGAAAATTCCTACATTTGTGGCCCCTGGGCAACAATTAACCCATTCTTATTCCACACTTCTCCCTCCCAGACTTGGCTGGACTCCCAGACAGAGGGCTTATCTAACCCCTCGTCTTCTTCCTCTGCCGCTTGCTCGCTGGTGGCTTGTGTGCTGCTTTGGTAGGGTAGCCCCTCGTCCCAGTTTCTGTCGCTGTGTTTGATCGTAGCCAATAGATTGGTAAGGACCAAGGAAGGGTGCATTGGTACATTTGAACTACTCCCGCCAATGTCAATAAGGAACAGCATAAAGTTTCCCGGATATAGCCCAACTCAGCTTACTTTGGCTAGGAGTGTGAATTAAAGCCCAGGGTTTAATGACTGGTGAAAGTCCCTCGAGTCCCTGAGCTGTGTGTGCAGAGTCACACGTTAGAGCTGGGATCCCGGGCGGTCGGTCGAGACTAGCAGGAGCGGCAAATGTAGTCAGTGGAAATGAACTCTGAGTTCAGCTCCGCAGCACGTGACTTCCTATTTCTGTAAGGTACTTCCAAGGGACTTCCTCTGTAAAAAAAAATCAGCCTAAGTCCCGGGAGATTTCATTCAGCGCAGTCGCTAAGTTTACTTCCAACTCGGGACAGAAGTTTTCCCTGAGACACCGTGTTAGTTTCTTTTCTTTTTCTTTCCTCTGTCATTGCCAGCATGCAAGGATCTTGTGGCTCCCGTTCGTGATCGGAAGCTGAATACACTGGTGCAGATCTCAGTAATCCACCCCGCGGAGCAGGGTCTGACAAGATACTCAAGCACGGAAATTGTGGAGGTGAGTGAGCGTGCTGTGTGCCTGCCTTCCTCTGCCCTGCTGTCGCCTTCTCAGCCTCTCTCTGGATTTGAGCGAACAGCTGAAATAAGTTAGTCCATGGCCTGTAGCTATGCTGTGTTACTGTCCTCTGTCATTTAGGAAAGCATACCAGAGATTATTAACCATGCATTGCGAACTTAACCAAAATAAACAGATGAGAGAAGAGCTTGCCTTTTTCATAAGAGACCTTATTTTCTTTAGTAAATAGGGAAAAAAAAATCTCACTTTGAATCCTTAAATAGATCACCAAGTAGATGTAGATATATATTTTTTAATTAAATGGAATGAATACTTATTTGGGAGGAATAAAAGAGTTGTAAAGTGCCCCCAGAGAAGTTAAGTGTTTTTGCACTTTTCATTTTTTCCTATGTTCTTCAGGCTGCCCATGGAAACTTTATATTCTTTGCTATTTGTGTGTGTCTTTTTAAAAGTACCGTGTTTTTCAAAGAAAGGTAGATGATTAATTTGAGAAACTGTAATGTTTCTAGCTAAAGGGTGTAAATATTACTCATCAGATGAGAGATTTCCTATTTACATCTATTGTTACTAATATAACATTCAAAATGTGTCGGGAGGAAACTTGTTATTGTATTGGATCAGATTCAAAAGAGGAAGTGTTTCCCTTTTGATTATTTTGTTCTCATCACACATATTTCACGCACTTAGTGAATGAGAAATACGGGAACATCTGGGACTACAGAAAGTGTGCTTTAAACTCCTTAGCTTTGCATGCTTTTTTTTCAGATTTGTAAGCCCTGTCTGTTTTGACGGGGGAGTTTCTCTGTAAGGAACTAAGCAGCCTACCCCAGACACCGGGTTTGCTCAGTGCTGGCCTGTGCCTGGCTGCTGGAATAAATGATTCAGACTAAACTCGACTCATTTCTCTAATGGGAATGACCCAGATCCTGCATGTAGCCTTGAATCTGCCCTTTGGAAACTTTAGGTTCCAATGCTGGTATAATCTGTAGTTAATGCTGTAGTTGAAATAACAAAAATAGTCCCATTCATATAGCGAAAACTTGACTGAAATTGTAAAACTGTTCATTTATATGAAAAAAAAAATTTCAAGTATTGTCCCAGTTTAGTTATTCTTAAAATATTGCCAAAACTTAAATGAAATGATTTTGACACATTTCAGTTGTTTCTGTTTGAACATACATAGCTGTTTTGGGCTGTTTTATTGACTGTTTTTCCAAAGTGTCTAACACAGAGCTGAACAAAAAAGTAGTATTTGTTGAAGAAAAGGAGAAAGAATGAATGACTAAATAACTTGGGCTTCCAGAAACTCATAGACATCTGGTTTACTAAATTCTAGCAAACATCTCAATGATATTTGGCAATATTCATATTTAAATATAGATGTAAAATTTAGTGTTGGATGTCAGCTCTCTCAAAATGAAATCTGAGGCATTGAAATATCCTGTGCACTGCATCCTATGCTAGTAATTTTATAGCCCCAAATCCATCATATTTAGTTTCTTTCATTAGTTTTCAAATCGGTCTGAGAAAAAACACCGCTGAACACCTGAAAACAAATGGACATTATCAGAGCATGGCTTTCAGTTGAATCATTACACAAAGGAAGTAAATGGTACTTTATGAGCAAACAGCTTCATTTTAATTTGATCAGTCAATATCTTAGATCATTTGTGTGAATTTCAGGTTAAATCCATTAGATCTATTCTCAATGGACTGACAACTGACCCTAATTAAGGATTCTGCATACAATGAAAATAAATTGTTTTTCCAGAGTATTAGCAGCTCTGACACTGTTGCAGTGCCATTTACTATCAGCAGCTCTATCAGTATTTGGGACTCTGGGCCTTGCTGTCGCCCATGAGCATCGTTCGGCAATTCAGATCGCTCTTCCAATAGAAACTATTTCCTAGAAAAACAAACAGACTCAGACACACCTTCTGCATTCTCATGTGTGCCTGCATTCTGCCAACTGCAGTTGCTGCTTTATTGAATCAAAGTGATCTGCTTGTGCTGTTACAGGGAACAAGAGACCCGCTGTTTTTGACTGGTGTCACATTCCCATCTGAGTATCCCATCTATGAGGAGACCAAAATAAAGCTAACGGTCTATGATGTCAAGGATAAGTCTCATGACACTGTAAGTACTTGTACTTATTTCTCTTTTTGGGGGTGGGGAGGGGAAGGAGTTATGCTTTTCCAAACTATTGGGTTTGGATATAACTGGCATTTTTCAAAGAGGGTGTTTATACTGTGTTTATGCTTGTCTTATGTTTATAGTTTGCTGAGGATCCCCATCCCCACCCCCACGCCTCCATGCCCAATTCATTTGGCAATTGGTGAGGAGCAAAAGCTTTCAGAACAGATTTTTCTCTTTCTCAGGAAGGCTGGCTTGATCTCTTGGTTTACCTTTCTGTGGTTGTTTTAAGGAGTTGCTGAAGGAGTCATAGTGTGGGCATAAGGCGAGTGGAAGAGATGAACTTTATATACTGTTTTAAAACTTTCTAGATATTGTAACTATTCTAAAACAGGAGGTTGATAAAGTGCTCTACTTTCACCCTTTATTCTGGACAAGACTGTGTAGAGAGACACTTCCTCTATTTTCCTGAAGTTGTTCTTGGCACCAAAGCAAACAGAGCCGGTAACGAGAAGCACTAGCCACACGTTTTAATCGGCCTCCTTGCGTGGAGGTCATGTAAAGCCCCAGTGGGCTTTTGTCCTAAATTCTTCAGTCTTCCTACAGGGTCTGACTTTTCTTCTACCTGAATCAGACTGCCTGGTTAGATAGTCAAGGACCTAGGCACTATCTCTAGAGGCCATTCTTAAAATTCCTGGACAGAAGAGAATGCTGTTGGGTAGGTGCTGAGAAGGGGATGGCTTAAAAGGGGCCCTCTCCTTCAAATCTCTCCTGTCTGTTTACAAGGCAGGGAAGCTATGGCAGTGTTGATGATCAATAGTGAGGCACGTGCCAGGGAACATTTTGAAGGCAGGGAGGCCTTTAGGTTCCAGTAGAGTTCCTGTTGAAGCTAAGCAGTGCTACTGGACACAGAGAATCACCCATACCTCGTCTGGGGAAAACGTCACTTTAAACTCCGCCCTCATGTAGGTTATGGTTCAAATAGATAGTGGGAGGAGGGGATGCAACTGTGCAGGGGAGTAGTAAGCAGAGAAATGATTAGGATGATGGGAACCGTGGGATTTTCTGTTCCTCCAAGCACATGATCAAATTCAATTCCCCCAGCAATCCCAAAGCATAGACAGGACAGAATATGGCAAGGGCAGAGTTTCTGTAACACTATGTTACAGAAATGAATGTTTCCCCTAAACTCTTGAGTTTGTGAAGTCCTTAGAAATGTCAGAGTTACGGGGCGCCTGGGTGGCTCAGTCGTTAAGCGTCTGCCTTCAGCTCAGGTCATGATCCCAGGGTCCTGGGATCGAGCCCCGCGTTGGGTTCCCTGCTCAGCGGGAAGCCTGCTTCTCCCTCTCCCACTCCCCCTGCTTGTGTTCCCTCTCTCGCTGTGTCTCTCTCTGTCAAATAAATAAATAAAATCTTAAAAAAAAAAGAAATGTCAGAGTTAGAAATATGAAATACCTAAGATGTTTCTATCCCCTTTACTCTCCCTCATTTAAAATGTGCATGGATGTTAATGCTTTACGGATAATTAGCTTACTCATTAATTATGCTTTTTGTTGGCTTCTATTCTGGAAGCTACTTATTTAAGGTCTTTTAAAGACTTCCTTCATCAGAGGTGTCATCACATAAAAGTATTGGATGAACCTGAATCCCTGCTATGAAATAAGACTTGTGAAATTTGAGCATACTTAAGAGATGCAACCAGCTTTCATTTACTAAAAGCTGTTAATTAAGGCATAACCTCTTCCTTAAAATAACTAACAATTAGTCCTGGTGATGGAAGTGTAAATAAAAACACAGTTTATTAATATGCTAATAGTCCCCATGGACATACAGTCTTTATCGTGGCCCTTGTTCTCTCATTTCTTAAGATTTTCTTTGGGTTGGGGGCGGGGGAGGGGGAAGGGGAAGCAGGAAGTGGTTTTCAAGTACAGTTTATAATTGTGAGCACTTAACAACCTAAAAAAATTAAGATCATAGTACTTTTAAGGCCTAAGAAATGAGAATATGTATATGTGTTTTAGAAAATTAATGAATTATGTGCATGTATTTAAAAGTAGTTTAAATATTTGATCCTAGCAAAGCATTGATCATGTTAGGCTGACCCAGAACAATGAGATTTTTCTACTGACTGAAAACTAATGAGTTGAGTCAGATGACTAAGTTGCTTGCCCTTTCCTATTGAATTTATCATTACTTGGATTTCATCAGTCAAATAAATGTGTTACTTTGCCATTTCATAATCATTTCCATACCTATTAATATTAGATATTTTTATTTTTATTTTATTTTATTTTTTTAAAGATTTTATTTATTTATTAGAGAGAGAGAGAGAGCTAGAGAGGGAACACAAGCAGGCAGAGTGGGAGAGGAAGAAGCAGGCTCCTGGCCGAGCAGGGAGCCCGATGCAGGGCTTGATCCCAGGACCCTGGGATCATGACCTGAGCTGAAGGCAGACGCTTAACGACTGAGCCACCCAGGCACCCCAATATTAGATATTTTAAAGAGAAATGATAACCTTTCATCTGTGGCCTTGATACAGCTATTATGTAACTGGTTGTTGTTCTTGTATTCCTCTAAACATTGGACCTAAGATTGATTATCTTACTTAGTAACTTCAGCAGAAATGCAATTAATCATTGTAATCAAAGAGAAGAGTCTGTCCATTCAGAATGACTGTTGTTTCCTCCTACTACATCCTTCATCCTCCTCATTCACTGCAGTAAGTCTTGCACTGTGGCAGATGGATAATGCTTGGCAGGTGGGGAGGTGGGGTATGGTGGGTGACAGGGTCATTATTAAAATTGGAGTAGCCTTTTTACTATTTTCCTCATCATGAGAAAATTATCTGTTTTCTCAGAATGTGCGGCTCTGACATCCAGCTGTTTGGTGGGGACTTCAAAGCTTGAAATTGAAGCCCGTGGCTAGGATAGGAGAGCCCAAGTTCAAACAGTGAAGCTGGTATCTTCTAGATATATACTGGTTGTATGCTCTATTTTAAACTTCCTGGAAAATGAAACAACATAGACACAATTGTTTTTAGCACATAGCTCACAGTGTTCAGCCCTAGGGAATCAAGCTGGGACTATGGGTCCTTCATACAGTACAGAAAAAACTCAGAAGAAGGTGAAATTTACATAGGAGGAGAACATCACCATCAAACTTTGTCTTTTTCCCTTCCTCCCATGGAACTAGTGTCTTGGAAGATACTGAACAAGCTCTTTCAACACCACACTGAGGATAGCCCTCAATCTGCAAACATATAATTAGCTCACAAAATTGGCTTTGCTCATGGTAGAAATTTGAATTTCTGTGTATTTTGCAGGAGTACACATTGCTTCATTTGTTCTTAGAGTAAATAAATATTTGCTGTATCCTCAACTTGTTAGATGTTCAGTTATAGTAGATATGGAACATTTCTCAGGTGAGGATATATGTCCTAAGATATTTTTTACTTCCAGTTACTAGCAACTCTCCATTTGTACCTTTCAGAAAAAAGTGACCTTATCAAGATTGGATGTAAATTTATTACATTGTGTGTTATTATGTCCAAGGCAGTTTATCTCTAGCACAAATCCCTACATGGTTATAATACATTTTAAGACAGTTAAGTTTTTTGTGTTTTTCTATGGAAAAGAAAATCATTTACATTGAGTATACTCTGACTTGGTTTGATTTTCTACACTAACTTCTTAGAAGGTTAGGTCTAATTATACTTGTTGAGATACAAGTTCTGTAAGCTTGCCTTCTCTTTGTAGAAGATACAGTACAGCTGATAAGGAAAAGAAACTGATACCATTGATCACTAAGCACATACCAAGCACTGTGTTTAATTTGTTATACATGGTTTTTTCTTTAATCTCCAAAAAATTTTTTGAGGGAGGTATTACATTGCCCATTTTAAAGGTGAAGAAATTGAGATTCTGAAAACTTAAGTAGGCCAAGTTAAAAATCATTCCTTTTCTCCAGAGTACATACATTGTTAGGATTACCCTCATTTTCACTTACACACGGTGGTATTTTTACTTCAGCTGATGCTTTAAAAACATTCTTCAGTTGGATCTTCAAAATTGATTAATTGAGAAAAAAAATGTCAGTATGCCAGTATAGGGGAAAAAACATATCCAAAATTTGTAAGCACTTAGATTAAGCATGTATAACTAATTGCAAATGTCTGAATAAGTTTTATGAAGTGGCCAACTAATATTAATGAAAGAATAGCTGTTATTACCTCTTGTGAAATGGTTAAGTTTATGTCTTAGACTTTTGCTTTTGTCCACCTGGCCCTTTCCTTTTGTCTCTAGTGCATGGTCCTCTCAACTTGGTGGTTCACTTTGCCTTTTGTAATTCTCTGGTCTCTCTTGTAACATTATTTGCAAGGGGAGTTCCCAATTCCGTATAGACGTAGTTCAGGGTTCTAAGATGTTGCTGCCCTTCACAAATAATTTCATTTCCTTTCTATCTGTTGATGAATAGTATATATTTACAAAGAGCATATTTATATTTTATTGAAGCATAATTTACATATAACAAAATGGACAGATCTAAAGTGTTCAGTTCAATGAGTTTGATAGTTGCATATGGCCACATACCCTCTACCCGATGCAAGATACAGAACATTTCCATCATTGCAGAAAGTTCCTTTGTGCCCCATTCTGGTCAATTGCCACCCCACATACTCTAAGGCAACCACTTTTCCACATATAACAACATGGATTTGTTTTGCTTGTTGAAATTTATGTGAATAAAATCATATAATATGTGTTCTCTTGTGCCTGGTATCTTTTGCTCAACGTTTTTTGAGGTTCATGTGTGTTGCTGAATGGTATTATTACTGAATGGTATTATGTTGTAGTGATACCACAGTTTATTCATTCTTATTTACATTTCTCTACATTTAATAACTTACAGCTTTTGACAACAATGAACTAAGTGTCTATGAACATTCAAGTACAAGTATTTGTGTGGATATTTGTTTTTATTTTGGGAGGTAAATACTGAGGAGT